GAAAAATCAACTATGTACTCAAGGTTCTGGAAGTTTTCCCTAAGATGTTGAAATAAAGAACGGAGTCATTTAACTTCATCATAGCTAGTGCTTTTTCAGCATGTGCACAGGTGCGTTATTTTCATTTAGGGTCACCAATTCATGGGCAGAGAATGATGATCCATATTATAGTCCAGAAATCTCTTGTCACCATGTATGCCAAGTGTGGTTATCTAGAGCAAAGTTATGCTGTTTTCAGAAGATGGAAAACAGAGATTTAGTTCTTGGAATGCAGTAATAGCTGGGTATGCTCAGACAGAAATGGCTATCTATAGAAGGTATTTTTACTATTAAATGCAATGATGATGACCCTACAAAAGCTTGATTCATTGACTTACATTGTCATTCATCTCCAAGCTAGGGCATCCAGTGGGGCTCTCAATCAGGGGAAGTGGCCTCATAACTTTGTAATTCAAAATTTCCTCTACTCTTGCACCTTGTTACTTGGTAGACACAGCTCTAGTGGACTTGTATTGTAAATGTGGTAATTTAGATGCTGCCAGTAGGTGTTTTAATGTGATGTTGCATGGCAATCTGATCTCTTGGACCACAATCGTTGCTGGATGTGGTAGTCATGGGAAAAGGAGACAACTTTGAGCATGTACCTGTAGTTGCTGCAATTGGGGATGTAATCAAACAAGGTGATCTTCCTTTCTTCTTCTTCCTTTTTTTTTTTTTCCCTGCAGCTTTGATGGCCTTATCATTTGGCAGTGTTTCAATGTGTAAGATCATATTTTCCCTGTGTCTTTACAATTAATGATCAAATCTATTTGGAATGGACAAAGATGTGACTGAGAGAAGGGATAAAAGGACATCAGTGTTTGCTGCGGCATGTCTGCTTGCCTGCCAGCTGAAGTAGTCAAACAGTTATCCATGGGAGTTAATGTGCCAAGTTTGGGTAGAATAACCATGCTATGCAGCTATTTATTGCAGGACAGATGTGCATGCAAAGCAACCAAGTCAAGGAGAGGAACTCCTCACTCTTGTTTGGTTGGCAATGAATCATCTGGGCCTCCGAACTCACTTTTCCAAAGAGGTTACAGGGAACCGCAAGACATTCAGCATTGAAGTTGTACGTTCACAAAATGAAAAATGAAAATAAGGCATTCGTGTTTGCTTTCTGTATGTCTTTTTCTGTTGTCTTTCTTTAAGCGGTCATCTTATGTTCATTTTGAAAAACTTAATGCTTCCTTGGATTATGTTTAGTTGTATTTGCATTTGTCAGATGTAGTTCTTCTCAACAGAACTTGAATTGCTTCCTGTTTGTTTTTGGATTCTTCATATAGATATTTTTTATACTTCATACTTGGCTCAAAAATATAATCAATTTCGAAGTTGCAACCCAAGGGAGGGCATGAATGATGAATGCAATCAATCTCTATTTCAAGGTCACGTGGTGTGAAAATTATGCATGCGGGTCTCAACACAAATCTTGCATCCAATCTAAAACCAAATGGTAATTGGTGGAGTGGCCCTTGTTGTATTTAACCTGTAAATTTCTTTGTTTATACTCAATATGAAAATTTCTCACTCAACACATGGTGTAGTACTTGAAAAATTCGGTCACATTACTGAGGTATAAGGTATTCAACCTAGCCCCATAACTCTATTACCATTATATTTGCCATGTAGAGTCTTGGAGCTCGTCTATGCCAAGGGTTTGCATTGTTGTCAAGTTTTTTTAATGGTTTTGAGTCTCATATTGCTCTGGTGAACTCTTTGTTGAATATGTATGGTAAATGTAGAAGTATTGAAGATGTTTAGGGCTTTTATGAATTGATGGGAATTCTTCGATTTTGGTGTTGAAGCTATGACATCAAGTTTGCACATACTTTATTGGTGTTTTGAAGAAATAAAAATGGCAGGAACTAAACTTCATGAAACTGATTTTGTTCAGTTTACTATTTATTTATTTATTTTTGAACAGGGTAATATGTTTGGGATTTTTGGGGGAAAGGGAAGGGAGGACTCGAAAACAAGTCTAGTAAGAAACCCTATGTGAGGAGCTACCACTTGCCCTACCCCGGGGTTCTTGATTTAGTTCAGTTTATTCTAAGTTTTTTCTGTTACATTTTAATTCTAGTTTATCTTTATGCTTAGTTGACGAAAAGTAAGCACTTGGTCAATGCCTTTAGAAAAGGTAGCAAAAGTTTAGGAAAAGCTGGTTTTGTTCACATGTTCGCTACCTTTTGCTTTTGTCTGTTATACCAGACTTGTACATATTTCAAGCTTCAACGAAAGAGGTCAGTTGTTCTACACCCCATTTTCTTTGATGTTGAAGCTTTTACAAATTAAATATGGAGACTGAAAACATGGAGTCCAATCAGCAGACCTTTGGTTCTGTGTTCCTGCCTCAGAGGTCATGTTGCTTAGACAGAACAATCAATTTACTGCAGCCAAGATCCTGGAAGTTTTTGTGGCCTTCAACTGCTTGGGCAAGGACTTATTGAGAAGATTACTAAGGTAAGAAAAAGAAGGTAAATCTCCTATTCCCAGCATGCCCTACAAAGTAAATCATATATTGATTTGCATTTGCAGGTGATATTGCTTGGGGGAAAATGATCAATTCACTGTAGACAATATCATGAAAGTTAATTACAGAAGACTTCAGCAGTTTTAGGGGTATGGACTTACATATTGAGGGATGCCAAGGTAAGGCTAGAACTGATAGCCCTTATTCAACATATTCTGTTAAGTTAATCATGTTTTTAATTTTTTGGTCTCATAAAAATAAACTAGTGCCTTTGCTTTTTGCATGCCCCTAGTTTTTCCCAGATGCATATGCCAAAACTACCAGTCCATTAAATTTAACTTCCTTCCCAACCAAATCCCATGTTAAAATTAATTTAATGAATTTGAATTGGCTCCTATTGAAATCCATCGTGCTGGATTCACTTCTTTCCCAGGATGCAACTGTACCACTTGTCAGTATGACACCTAAGAAACTAGCTAAATGGTGCAACCTACAATGTGACTCAAATTGAACTCAATATCCCTATCCTGCTTAATGCCTTCCCACTTTATCTTTATATTATAAAGATTTGTATGCTTTTCTTTTTTTGTGAAGCAAGCAAAGAATACCAGATTTCTTTGTTTGTGAAAGAGGTAAAGAATACCAGATAATAGCATTTTGGTCTTTGCCGGTTCCTACATCCTATACTGCTTTCCTCTCTCACAGCCAACTTTGTCTTCTCTCCTCCTTTTGCCAGTCGCTCGGTGAGTAATACTTGATCATATATGCTCTACTCTACAGCTCTTACCATAATTTTCTCACTTACTGTGTGCTTTTTTTTTTTATTATTATCCTAACTTGTCATGCAAATTTCTTGATCACATATATATAATTTTCTCATTTCGGGTAAATTTTATTGATTTTGAAAATTTTTTTAATTATATTATATTGGAAATGTTTTCTTCTGATTCTTAATTTTCATTAACCATGGCAGCTTTTCTCTATTTTACTTCTGGGAATCAGTCTTGTAGCTAATTGTTTTGCAGTCAAATGTATTAAGCTTTTCTCATTTTTGTTAATGATTCTATATGTCATTGTAGCTAGGTTCATCACCATATACCAAAATTAAGGTTTATAAATACAAATTGTATATATCGAGTATGTTTTTCAGGCTCAAGCTTGACTGCAACAGCATAACACAAAAACTGGGCTAAACTCGTACTTGGGTTGTTAAAAACTAAACATCAAGGAGCAAGCTGGAGTTTGGCTTAGAATTTTTTTAATACTAAACTTTTATCTAATAAGAAAATTTATTAAACCTTAATCAAGAATTAAATAATCAACCTTATTATCTCCTCAATCCTAGCTTGTCAGGTTACTCTGTTTCTTTTTT